CGAGTTGGCCCCGACTCATAGCGACCCCTCCTTGGGTTTCCGAGGCAGTATCACTACGGAAGTAGGATTGCCCAACCTTCCTTCCGAGGATTCATAATACTGTCTCTATATTAAAAAAGGTGGCTACCTGATGCTAATGTTTGAATTAATCAGATAAGACCATTTTGGCCAATCAATATAGCTTCTCCAGCTTAGAACATTGGGAGGACAAGAGGAAGAAACAGAAAGAGAGGGGAAAAAATGCCACGTTTGCTGTATCTAGCAAGCTACCTGCCACTAGTTAAGGAGGTTAAACACCTTCTTTTCCTGAAACATCCTCTACCTTTGTTCTGCTTTTAGCTTACCCATCCTTTATCTTGAGTATTTATATATTTCCTGAGATGTGGGGGCCTCTCAGTGGTGCTGGCTTAACAACTATCTCTGAAAAAATTAAAAACCCAAACCAGTTGCCATTGAGTCAGCTCCGACTCATGGCAGACCCATGTGTGTCAGGGTAGAACTGTGCTAGTCCACCACATTTTCAACGGCCAGTTTTTCCAAAGTCGATCGCCAGGCCTTTGTTCTGAAGTGCCTCTGGGTGGACTCAAACCTCTAACCCTTTGGTTAGCAGCTGAGCACCACCCAGGGACTTCATTAAAAAAAAAAAAAAAAAAGGTCTAATTTATGATCTTTGCTGATTTTCATGGGGTAAAAACTCCTACCATGGCCAATCTCAAACCACCAGTGTGATCTCACTGAACACGGAGTTGGGAAGAGATGTGCACAGTCAGGTGTCTCTAGCACCTGTACACCACAGGACTGCGCAATTTGCACTGACACAGGATGCTAAGGGCTAAGCAACCTACCGCTCTTCTCTTTCCAGCTCCAGTTCCTCTTCACATCTATGAAGGTTTAACAAGTATCGGCTTCCAACTAGGAAATGGCTTTCAAATGTCAAAACCAGTAAACTAAAGCCAATTAATGTCACCATGTGGATGACTAAGGTACCAGCTAACTCAAATGAACATTACAGAATATTAATATAATGGGATTCACCTCCTCAATAAAATTAAAGGATTTTCACATCTCCTTCCATCTCTCAGTGGCTCAGATTTTGTGTCTTTCTCCAACTCTCAAACTTACATAGTGCCTGGCACATAGTAGGAGGGAGGGTGGACAGAAAAGAGGGAAAGAGGAAGAGAAAATGTGAATATGAGAGCAAGTTATTTAAAGAAAAAGATCTATAGATAATTGAGTGAAGAACAGAATATCAGACAGAGCAATAGTAAGATCACGTCCTTTGGTTTCTAACAGTAACTGGCAGAGATACAGTCCCACTCTTAGCTCATCATCTCTCAAAGCCCCTGCTCTGAAACGATCTCCTGAAAATGTTGCTAATATTTTTAGCTTTAGCAGAATATAATTAAAATATACCTAATGTTACTACGTGACAACTACGAATAGGAAATTATCCTTCCTGCTGACAAAATTCAAAATGCTGGAAAGCCTAATTATAGACAATCATTAAAATGTTAGATAAGAAAGGGAAATTTAAAAAAAAAAAAACAACCCTTGACAGTTCTACAGTCACAGCAGGGAGTCAGTCCCGACTCATAGTGACCCCTCCTTGGGTTTCTGAGGCAGCATCACTACAGAAGTAGATTGCCCAGTCTTCCTTCCCAGGAGTGGCTGGTGGGTTTGAACTGCCAGCCTTTTGGTTAGGAGTCAAATGCCTTAGGCATTATGCTACCAGAGCTCCTTCATTTAGCTATAGAATATAAAAATGTATATTTCCTAGAAGACCCTTAATCTTCTACAAGGTTTTTTCAATTAATTTAACCATGAATAATTTCCTTTTGAAATTCTCCATTTTAAATTTTAGAAGGCTATTTCCAACCCACTTCTATAATTGTATTAGGCTATGTACTTCAGACCAAAAAAACCAAACTCATTGCCACTGAGTTGATTCTGACTCATAGAGACTCCATAGGGGCTATAACTCTTTAGGAAGCAGACTGCCCCATCTGTCTTCCGTGGAGCAACTGGTGGGTTCGAACTGCTGATCTTTTGGTTAGCAGCCAAATGCCTTAACCACTGCACCACCAGAGCCCTTTGTACTTGAGCCTGTTGTTGTTGTTGTTATGTGCCGTCGAGTCGGACCCGACTCATAGCAACCCCTCTTTGGGTTTCCAAGGCAGTATCACTACGGAAGTAGATTGCCCCATCTTCCTTCCGAGGAGTGGCTGGTGGGTTTGAACTGCCAGCCTTCTGGTTAGCAGTCAAGTGTCTTAGCCACTATGCTACCAGAGCCTAGCAAATAAAATTCCTTTATTTAGTGTCCTAGCATCACAGAGCCCTGACTTGTCAGCATGGTTAGAGCAGGTGTCTGAGTTATCATGACAACAGGGATTGGTGTGCTCATTCCATGGTTCAACCCACTCCTTCAAAGGCTCTTGTTTCCTAAATCACAATATCCAGATACCATCGCGGAACATTCAAGGCTCTATAAAACCAGGCTGTAAACATACACATGTGCCCCTTCTGGGCTGTAAAAGCTCTCATAAGAGGCTCCTGAGCCATCAGCAGTCTGAAGAGCAAGTATTAGGGGGAAGTCCAGACACCAGGCAGAGAAAGGAAAAGTCTCAAATCTGGAGGTCCAAGCAGTAGGTGGGAGATAGGGTCGTGAAACCAAGGGTTCAGAACTGGAAGGAAAGGTCAAGAGAAAACAGCTAGGTCAAACAGGAGAAGCATCCTGAGAGGTTTCCTGGAAGTCCACCGAGTGGCTGTGGCTCACTGTTACAGGCCAGCAGAGGACCAGAGGAGAGTGTCTGGGCAGTGGAGGGGGTGGGGGGATGGAGGAGGAATGGAATCCTTATTATCATCCTCATCTGTAAGGAGATGCACAGTAGTAACCACACACCATGCTGTTTCATGCCTGCAAACTTTTGCACATGCTGTTCTCTATGGCCAGAATGTTATTTCTGGGTTTTGTACCTAATAAACTCCTATTCTTCCCACAATGTCCTACTCAATAGTTTCTTCTTCTATGAAGCTTTTCTCTTCATCATCTCCTTTATGCCACCTCTTACCTACTCTATGGCTCTATTGCTGCACTTACCAAATTAGTAATGTCCCCTCTTAGATGTGATCTCCTTAAGGATAGTAACCAGGTCCCTAGTGCCCAACAAGCACAATAGGTGCCCCATAAGTTTTTGTTGAATTAATAATTGAGTGGATAAAAAACTAGGAATAACTTATAATGAATTGAGTAATCAGGCTCTGTTAGAAAGATCAGTTGATACTGGAATGTGTTACTAAAAAAGAGAGAGAGAAAGAGGGCAGGTAGTCAGGAGAGGTGCATGGCTTTTCCTGGGTAATCTAAGAAAGAAATCCTAGCTAGATACCATCCTGAAGCCATGAGAGAATAAATATTTTCAGTGGCAAAGAGAATGAAACTTAACGGCTGCAGATTCCTTGATAACAGATTTAAAGGTTTAACGCCCAACATTCCAACAATGATGATGGTTTCAGTCTAGGGAACATCTCAAAAGAACCAGAGAACCTACTAGAATGGACAGTCATCTACAGCTTTCTAGACTGAGGATCAGACTCACTTGACAGATTCCTAGCCAAAAACTCCCCCAAGCTGAATGGAAAATCAATTTGCTCTGTAAACTTTCACCCAAATCACAATTTAAAGAATAAATAAATAAGAAGGACACAGGGAAAAGGAAACCACAGAGAGGAAGTGGGAAGAGAACTAACACATTGTGAGGATTGCAGTTGATGTCATGAAACAAAATGTATATGAACTATTGAACGAAAAACCAATTTGTTCTATAAACTTTCGCCCAAATCACAATAAAAAGTTAAAAAAAAAAAGCTCCTCCAAGTTATTCTGATAATGAACAGATTTAGAAACCACTGGATTATTATGTTTCAGCTACTGATAGTGTGATTTGTGGTATATGTGACTGAACATTACCAGGAAGAGGGGTTTCTGTCTGCCTGGTAGATCAGAGATTGTCTTAATAAATAATAACTAAACCCACTTTGTATTTTACTTGGATTATCTCACTTAATCACCCTGAAAAGCATATAAAGGTGGTGGTTGTGTGCCATCAAGTTGATCCTGACGCACAGCAACCCTATAGGACAGACTACAACTGCCATGTAGAGTTTCCAAAGCTGTAATCTTTACAGAAGCAGAAAGCCACATTTTCCTCCAGTGGAGTGGCTAGTGGGTTCAAACTGCCAACATTTTCATTAGCAATTGAGCATTTAACCACTGTACCACCAGGGCTTAAATTTCTTAGTTGGGAAAACAAAAATCATATAACCTGTAGCTTATAGTTTTTTGGGAATTTTGTTTGTCTAAATTTGAAATCCCCCATATCATCCATTTCAGAACTAAGCCTGCAACTAAATATACCTTAAATTGAATATAAAGTAGGGGCTAATACTACCCCCATTGTGCAGAAGCTTAGAGAGATTAAGCTACTAAGTGATAGAAGTGGTATTCAAAATGCTAGTAGTGTGTTCTAGAGGCTGTGCTCTTAACCTGTGTGCAATACTGACTCTTGGCTGAAGTACATGAGCAGAAAGAAACCCCTAAAACACAATGTCTTAAAGAAATGGCCAGTACACTTGAAGTTGCTTCAGTCTGTATTGGGTCTGGATCATTTTGTCCTCTAATTCATAGCAACTGGATATTTTGATAAATCTTGCACATTCCTCCATCTCTCTGTTTCACTGTGTTTTATGCATCTTTGTATTCCTCGTACTTGGCACAATACCTGGCCCACCATGTATACTCAATACATATTTGTGGAACTTAAAACAATTTGATTCCATGATTGTGAAGGATACTATTTGACTTGTGCCAAGAACTTCATTTAACCAAAGCTCTTTGTGTATATTGCCCACGAAGAGGCAGACAGAAAAAACTGTGACCCTGCTAGATGAGAGTGGACATTGTTCAGGAAGTTCAGGTATGCTTGGTGAATGAGCTTCCAAGGGAAGCACAGGCTTTCTGCCTGCTTGACTG